CATTGCATATAATTGCTTGGAACAAAACATTAATAAAGGCAAGTTTGTGCAAAACTGCAAAAAGTATTTAGATTTTTTTTGCAAGTAAAATCCTTCTTACTAGAGAAGAATATTTCATTTCTGATCGTAAAATGATTTTAAAAAAGCAGACAAATTGAAAAATTGTCACAAATATCTTTCCAGCTTTTTTTTCAAGTTAAGATTTGAGGGTATGGTTCTCGTACGGCATTGTTGTGGGAAGGTAATGAGCCCGGTGATTGTTGTTCTATCACATTTCAAGATCTGCTTGACAAAGTGGTTACTTTTTCTGCTGTTCTGCGATCTCACGGAGTGAAAAAGGTTCGTTACACAATTTTTATGTCTTATGATTTATTGTACAAGTTTTAATCATATCATGCAATGACGTATACCTTATGTCTTAACGGGATTACTTTATTAAGGAGTACATCGGAGATAGCTACCGAATTGTTTTTAACTTTACATTCTACTCTTATTAATTTAGGGCGATGTTGTGGTGATTTATTTACCGATGACACTTGAATTACCCATAGCCATGCTATCGTGTGCCAGAATCGGTGCTGTTCACGCCGTAGTGTTTGCTGGATTTAGCGCTGAAGCTTTGGCAGCTCGGATATGCCAAACAAAAGCCCGTATCCTGGTCACGGCTGATGGATATTATCGGGGCAAGAAGCTTGTAACACTGAAAATAATAGCTGACAATGCTCTCGTTGAATGTAATATTTCGGTAAGTATAGTTCAGTTATTTGTTTAATTATATGTAGTACATTCGAAATGCACTTTGAGCTTATTAATTGAGCTAAGCATGATGATGATATACTTCGGTATCTCATTATAATCTATAGATCCATTTTAGTTGACTATTTTATGGTCTTAATATTTACTGAATGTTTTAGGGTAAACCGGTGGAAAAAGTTATCGTTGTACAACATTTGGAACGTGTCCGTAAACCGAATGATACTGCATCTGTCGACGTAAATTTAACTTCATTTGTTATTTTTTCTTTCTGAAATGTTGCATTTTGTTATGAGAAGAACAATGCTGAAGATTGAAGAGTGGTTGAAGAAATGAGAGCTCATGTTTATGCCTTATTCCCTGACATTTTAGTGTGTGTGTGTTTTTTTTTGCTTTCAGTGTGTTTGCTTTGGCGAAATCGAATTAATTTAAATTAAATCTTGTCTCATCAATTTCTTATTTACCATTTATTTTCGGTGTTTTATTTTTTTCCAGGTTTCCTAATGAATAGTTATTTTAAAATTTTTCCACTTAAAAAAGAACATGGGTTAAAAACCTTATTGTTATAATATGTTGCTTTGTCAGGTTAAATTAGATCCAAAACGGGATGTTATATGGGATAAAGAAATGGAACGTTGCAAAGGTTACAAATTTTCTAAGATCGAGTGGAATGATGCAGAAGATCCTCTCTTTATTCTTTATACATCCGGTTCAACGGGTCAGCCAAAAGGAATCGTGCATACTACTGCTGGTTATATGATATATACCTATGCTACTGTCAAATTTGTTTTTAATGCTAATCCAGAAAAGGACATATATTGGTGAGTCTAATATTTTCTGTACAGATTAAATTGAAAAGAAAGTTATTACACAATATCTGATAGTTTATTGTCTGAACCGTTTCATTACTCTTAAAAATTATAAGGAAGAGTAAGATTTACTGGTTTTTGTCCGAAGTTACTGCTGCTTAATAATTAGTTTTGGTTTTTTTATGCAGAAACGTGAAATAAAAAAAAGTCAAGGCTTTGTATAGTAATCATATTAGGGAATCGGGACTATTTTAAAAGTTAACAATTAAGAAAAAGGCTGAAGATATGTCTTCAAAATGCATTTTTTCGAGATAGTCATCTGAATATATTTTCCTAATGTATATTTGCAGGTGTACAGCTGATTGCGGCTGGATTACTGGACACTCCTATCTCGTGTATGGACCACTTCTTAATGGTTTGACATGTGTTATGTATGAAGGCGTACCGAATTACCCAACACCGTCACGAATGTGGCAAATTGTAGAGAAGTACAAAGTAGGCATTTAATTAATTACTAGTTAATGCATTTGCTGTTGTCCAAGTGTTTATTATGTTTTATATTCTATTCCATTCTAAAGTTGTTGAATATATTTCTAAACAAGGTAACATAGTCGTCAATAGAATCGATAAAACGATGCCGAAAACTGTTTTCACTTAAATACATTAAATACATTTCACAGTTCATTTTTTACTTTATGTGAGATTTTTCTTTCAGGTTACAACCTTATATACTGCACCAACAGCAGTGCGTTCTTTGATGGCTTTTGGTGATCAGTATGTCACACGGCATAATCGTTCATCGTTGCGTTTACTGGGATCAGTTGGTGAACCAATCAATCCGACAGCATGGAAATGGTTATACAAGGTATTCAAATTTAAACTAATAATTTTGCTGACTCAGATTTTTATGCGATAAAGGACTTGATGAGTAAGTGATAAATTTCAGGTTGTTGGCGAAAGCCGCTGTGTCGTCATTGACACTTATTGGCAGACAGAAACAGGAGGACATACGATTGCGCCTTTACCGGCAGCAATTCCCTGTAAACCGGGTAGTGCTACGCTCCCTTTCTTTGGAATAGAACCGGTTATTATTGGTGAAGATGGTCGAGAAATCGAAGGAGTTGGAAAAGGGATTTTGGTAACTGTTTCATTTCTATTTATATAGCATGAGCCAGTTTTAGGTATTGTAATGCAAATCATAATATTATAGTTCTTTTTCTATTTGGTGAAGTTCAGCAAGCAAAGCAGATGAGCTATTGTCTCTCGAATTTTGTCTCGTAAAGAAGTTTTTTCAGGTAATGTGGAAATGGGACCGCAGAAAAAACAGATCTTGCGTAGTTTTACTAGATGTCAGCACAAATTTGAATAACTTTGACAAAAAAAACGTTCATTTTATGAATATTCAATTCTTCCTTTTGCAGTGTTTCAAACGAGCTTGGCCCGGTATAAGCAGAAGTATTTTGGGTGATCATGGCCGATTTATAAGTACATACTTTTCGCCATATCCGGGCTACTTTTTCACTGGTGATGGAGTGCGTCGAGATGCTGATGGTTACTACTGGATCACAGGTGTAACTTGGCAACCTACTTTGGCGTTGGAGGAAATTTGAGATTGATTTAACAATCGTTTTATATTATAGGACGGATCGATGATCTGATGAATGTGTCTGGTCACTTACTGTCTACTGCTGAAATTGAATCTGCACTAGTTTCGGACGACGATGTAGTAGAAGCAGCTGTAGTTGCAGCGCCGCATGACATCAAAGGCAGCTTTCCATATGCATTTGTCACATTACGATTGGTACTATTTGCTTTATATTTAGTCCTGAACATCTTTAAAAGAGCAGCGAAGTTAAGTAGCCACGTTTTATTTAATAATTCTTTTAGGGTGTAGAACTTACAAACAAAAAAACTGAGGACCTGAAACTTTTGGTACGAAGGAAAATTGGTGCGATTGCCGTACCAGACGTTATACAAGTAGCTCCAGGACTACCCAAAACACGATCAGGTAAGTCACAAATAATTTGTATTTGTGAGAGCAGTGGAAGCTGTCTAGTATGGCAAGCTAGCTTTGTTCTTGCTTCATCATTGCACTGGTTTTATTCAGATTTGCCCCTTATTTGCAAATGAGATGGAACAACGAAAAACTTCCTTGTTTTATCTGCTTAAATTATCTCAAATTGATCTATCAGTTAAGCCTTTTACATTCAACAGTTCATGTTTTAAGGGAAAGTAACACGTCGTATACTGCGAAAAATTGCTGAAGGTGATAAAACTGCGGATTTGGGTGACACTACTACACTGATTGATGAAACAGTTATTACTCATTTGTGGAATGGTCGATCAGAAACACGGACTGGTTGAAAAAACTTGTAGTAATGCAATAACTTTGCAAATTTTTTGTATTAATTATATATTAGATTATATAAGATTACAGTATATTTTGGCATTGTCCTTTATTTCTATAGTATTAAACTTCCTTTTAATCATTTGATTAACTTCGTATTCCCCCTTCTTTCATCAATTATTTAAACTTTTTAATCTCCTCTCCTCACCATTAGCTTCCAATCATCATTGAATATATTGCCAATCCCGAGATACATTAATTTGAAGTAACAGCTTCCGCTGATATTAGCAATTTCGTTGTGTGGTATTTCTGTGTTTGTATTTTCGAGTTCATGACCCTCATTCCAATAAATTGACACTTATTTTGGTTCAAAGAGCGCTCGACCATTCAATGTAATAACTTTTAAGGAAAGGACACAGAAAATTTTAAGCTAGCTGAATACATTATGTTTGTAACTGAATAAATTGGAATGCAAGAATAACGATGGATTTGAAGATGATTAAGGATTTGAAAATGTCCGAAGTTCATAGAGTTCATAGAAAGAAGAAATCGTTTTAGAGAACAAGAAAGTAGCAGATTTAATCGTGGCCAATAATCGTTTTAGCCTATCGAATGAATTGATAAGAGGTAATAATATAGTGGCTGGAGCCTTCCAACAATTTCAGAGCTCAATATAGTTTCGAAAGAATTTTGTTTTTTACTTCCCTTGAGAATAATTGACTTGTCCCCTTGGCAATTGCAATGATTTTTTTGCAATTACAGATATGAAATATCAAATGAATTATTTTTTTACTTAAGAATGAGACTCTTAGCGTCGCCAAATATTTCGTATCTTGATTGCGCTTCTTTGTCATCGGTTTTTTTGTGATTTCCATATTGCTGTTTCTCGGTCGTCTGCTCTCTGATTAGCAAAGGTATTTAGATGGTGAAATGTTTAATATTTTGCATCATTTCATCCATACCGCCACATTCCAAATTAGAATCATCTCTAAACATTTTCAATCCAACTAATTTCATTCAGGGTATACTCATATCTTCGGAGTTGAATTGCTTAAATTGCATTTTCGAAAAACATTGAATATCAAATCTCAATGGCTGTTAAAAATTTGTCATATGAGTGCGTCGATGCTTGGAAAAGTAAAATACAAAAAGAGACTGTTCGAATTTCCTGGTAAAATCCACCCAAATATATCACTAAGTTATGAGTACTGAGTAAAACCCTTGCTTGTCACATAATCAACAAACATCATAGCATAAAATTCCATATGACAGAGCCCAAATTTTTGAAAAATGATTACCTTAAGTGAGATGGGAAAGTTAAGTAAAAACATTCACCAATAAATTATTAAATAATCTTTAAATTAAGGATTGGTAATTACTATGACGATGAAGTATACGACGACACAGAATTAAGTGCCGAAACAGTGGATATTTTGGTGAATAAATGCGCCAATGTATTTAAAGAGTTTCAGTTGAAGGATAAGCCAATAATACTGTACCTGCCCAACGTTTTACAACTTCCTATTACTATATTGGCTGCACTTCGAATAGGATTAACTTTTTTGCCCATTGTAAGCACTTAAATAACTAATTAACTAATTAATGGTGATCAGCTGCGTGTAACGAGCCATTTCAATAAGTATTATGTACGAAAAATACGAGATATAGCGGATGACGCGTATCGGCTATAAGTTATCAATTAGTCATAGTCGCAAATTAGTGCCTAAATAAATCACGTTTTAAAAAAGGTTTGCGTTGAAATAATTTGAAGTAATGATCTTGTGAAATGTCTAAATAAAATGATAACATTTCAAATCTAAGTTTTTTAAAAATCTAATTTTTTAAATCACTTTATCCTATTATATCACTCAGACTGCCACAAACGAAAGTATCGACTGCTTACGTGATATAGTGAAAAACAGCGGTGCTGACACAGTGGTGACAATTGATGGTTTCTGGATGGGCACCCGACTGATCAGGACTAAAGAACTTCTGGATGCAGCAATCATCGATATTGTATATTTTGTCAATCATCAAGACAATGGGAGCAGTTAAAGGAGCAACTTTGAGAACAATTTAGCCAAAGGAATAAGGATTATTTTAAAACTTACTCAGAGCGAATCCCATTTGCCAATGACCCAGAAAGAGAATAAAAAGAAATGGAAATCGTGTCAAACAATGTTTTCACTTTCATTTTCATTTAAACCATCTTTTCAATCCATAACATACTACAGGCAATACAACGTGTAATTGTCATACGACATGTAAGTCCAGACGAAGGAATACCGCCGCCACAAATGAATTTGACCGGTAGACGACCTTGCTACATGTACAAGGTATGATCCTACAAAGGGAACTAGAATTAAATAGAACATTGTACCAGTTGTCGGTAGCTTTCGTCCTCTTTTGAATCAAATCCGATAAGAAATACATCCCCGGCAACTCATCTTCAAGATATTACTATATTGCAGGTTGTAATGAAACAAAAAAGAGATTCGTGGTGGAGCGGATTCTTCCAGAAAGCATCCAGTTTTTGCAAGCCAGAAGCAGTTCCCAACGATTCTACCACACTACTCATGCCAACCAGGTACATTAACATTGGCAATCCACGCTTACAATGATATCAACTCACCTTTAAAATAATAATACCGCTGAAGAATGATTTCACCTTCGATAGCAATACTCTTCTGCTCTATATCTTTCCAAAAAGTCTTTAAAGTGTTCAAAATGTTAATTCCAGAAGTGCTTCTTCCACTGTATTGTTACTACCCATTTCGTTGGAAATACTTCAAATGGAAATCAGTCGCGTTCAAACCGCTATACATCCCGATGAACCAAACCTCATTATCAGCACAAAAAATATTTTCCACCAGATTACCTGTATTTTGGCAGCACTGAAAGTGGGCGCCATGCCTCTTATCGTAGGTTTCAATTAATTTAGCACAAAAGTAAACAATCCTTGTCCAACAAATTTCTTAAGTGGGATAAATGAGATAGATTTTCAGTATGAAAGCGACATTATGCACCCTGACCCGTCGAGAATCTCACAAATCATATATACTTACAAGGTTAGTTTGCTATATTTGCACATTTAGTCTTTTATTGAGATCTGAAAAGAACAAAACTTAGTTGAAACAGAGTGCTATCATGCCGTCTGCCATTAACACTTCTTTCGCTAATCGATATCTCGCTTGAAATTCAGGTAGCAAAATTGTTAATTGCGGAAGAAGATATGAATCTTTTGATGGAATACAAACAGTATATAACCTTATGGGACTTGAAAACCCTCAAAGAAATCCTGATTCTTGGAAGCCACAAACTATGCGAGCAAGCGAAAAAGATTTTCGGTGTACTTTGCAAAAATATTGAACCAACACCGATCAAAATGGCATATCCACACAAAAATTACTAAACCTTCCAATTTTATACCACATCTATCTTCTTATCTTTAACAAAATTCCTTAGCCAATTAAAAATTTTTTAATGGTTGAATAAAATAAAAAGGATCACTGAATATCAACTGAGCACCTCAAAAAAAATTCATATTACGTATTCTAATTATATCTACCAACTCTAACAAATGTGCTTGAAGTAAAGTAATAGGCATTCATTTCTGCGAACAATACGAAGCCTAGCTTTATAAATATTCGCATAGTGATACATCTACCAATGACATAAACTTCAACAAAATATTGATGGATAAACGTGGTAGGCATGCATTTTTTTTCTATAGCAATCTTCAAAACCATTTCCTATTAGATCTAAGTAATTAATCTTCACAATAATAGTAAATTTCAAAACGCAAACAAAATACAGAAACCCATACAAAGGCAAAAAAGGCCCATGGCCTCAGAAAGAGCAAAACCAAGGATCGCATAGGAAAAAAGCTGATTTTTCGCGGATGGGTTTCGAGCGTAACCGATAACGAGTGAGCCGAAAACGTTGCCGATACCAGCACCGGAACCGGCTACACCAACTGTTGCAGCTCCAGCTCCAACATACTTCGCTGCACTATCAATATCACGTTGAACCAATGATGTTTGTAAACTACGAAATAATGTTGCGTTATTCGTGCGAAACAACATTGGCAACACCTGCAATTATTCCTCGATTCTATCAAAAAACATTTCGTTTGTGTATGTTCTTTCCCAATCAAAATTTTTTACCTTACCTGAGTAAAACAATGTCAATAGCAAGCATTTTAATTCTTTTATGCAATCCAAAAATGTTAACATCTGTTGGCTTGATATCACTTATTGCTGCCGAACAGTAAACGTAATGAGCTATTTATTGATCTCTAACTGTATTTTTCTAAAACTTATAAAGCTGGATTAAAAGTTAACGTACTGAAACACGAGCTACAGAAGTTGAAAGTCGTTGGCAGTACATGCTGAAGAATTTTATCGAACTTCCTGAAATTCAATCAAAACAAGAATACCTGTGAAGATTAATAGTGACAGCATGGATAACGGCTATAGCTCTGATAGAATATCAGCCATTATCTATTTATCACACTTCATTAAAAAATTCAAGTCAAAATATCCCAAAAAGGGATACAACTGGAGATTATTTGGATGAAAAGAATGAAGGAGAAAGAGTTCCATAGAAGTCGAAGGGTTTTTCAGCATGCACAGCGAAGTGAATATGAAAAAGAATGCAGGAGAAAGAGGACGGATGCGTAGTGCTTGGAAGATTTTAAGAAGCGTAATGGGTGCATTTTAGACTGAGCAGGTAATACATTTCAGAATGAGTGTTAGTGCATTTCAGGACGGATAAAGTATACATCTCAAGTGGAGTGAATCAATGAGTGGAAGAGACGGCACAAAGGACCTCACCCTCCCCATAATCCCAGGCCAGTCAACGAACCACAGAACCACCCCACTGTAATCGAAACATCCACACTTCCCAACTACTCAGCATTTACAAAGTTTAATGGACCGTTTTTTCTCGTTAAATATAGTTCGTCTAGTGAGACTCAAGTTTCATATTGTTTGTCGTTTTGATGGGAGGGTGAAAGGCTCGTAGGGTGACGAAGTTGACGCGGAGACGTGCTCGCGAACTTTGTTTTCCTATAAAAATGTTGTTCAACTGTGCTGGAGGCACGCATCTCGGACTTCAATTTCAAGGAATTAATTAATTTTTGGTTTTTTTTAGTAAAGTGAGCCTTTGTAACAGGTGAAAGTCGCCGAAGTCATGTCTTTTTGGTTGGATTTGCTAATGCTGAATATTTTGCAAGCAGCATGGTAGTGAATTACATTTAACAAACAGCTGTCTCTCCTCGACCTAAAAAATTAAAAGTAATAAATTTTAGAAATAACAGCAGAAATGGATGCAGTACCGTTGGATGAAGTTTCTACATATTTCTCACACCCAGAACAGATGTTTCCAGAGATTGAGGATGACAAAGTTCCAACCGAACAATTCCTCAGAGCTTGTCAAGGCATTGCTAACTTTGTAGGTAAACTAGGAATTTTTAGTCTTTAAATATTTTCCCACTCTGTTGCGTCTTTCTGACACTTCAAATTTTGTCTTGTAAAACTTAACTTTACCAATATCATTAACACCGATTAATCGCTATGTGTTGTCCCACTTATCGGCAGTTAGATGAATCATCAAGCAATCATCAAAATTGCTCTTACAAGAGTAGTATTTCAGGTCTCTTAGGAATAGCATTTATCCCAATAAAAAATGATATCAGTGGTAACATTACCAAGATCAGGACAAAGTACGAGAGTGGGAAAGATAAATACAAATATATTGAAGATCTGATCGAAGACGATCTTGTTAAAAACAACGGAAAAATGGGCACAGCTACCGAAGGACTGTTATGGCTGAAAAGGTCCGTTATTTTCTTATCAGATTGATGCGAGAACGGATTTCAGCATATTTTCAATCTTTCAATAGTTGTGAACTCTTCTTCAAACAAACTAAACTAACACTTCGAAAAACATGTACTAACTTATATATATGATTTTGTTTTTTTCATGTACAATTTGTATAGAACCAATTTTTATAATGTATGCTTTGGTTAAAGTTCTGATTCTTGAGAAAGAGAATGCCCTGATCATCCAGTGTTTTATTATTACAGCATTGTATTTATTTTTTAGAGGTTTAGAATTCATGTTTGAATTTTTGTCGGAAATGGTGCGCGTGTACCAATCAACAGATAAAAGAAAAACCGACAGTTTAACAGATTCTATCAACAATGCTTATAATAATACGCTCAAGAGGCATCATGGGTTTATATCGAAGCAATTGTTTAAGGTAAGATTACAATTTAGAACTTAGGCTTCTACCGTCGTATCTCTGTTTCAGTGGTAATAAATCATTTCACTCATTTATATTACTTTATGCAATTTCAGGTCGTTCTTTTGGCAGCTCCAACTCGAAGTAGCATTTTGAAAGCACTTGCCGAAGGCAGGGAAGGTGTGGATGATATATGTATTGGTCATATCGCAACACATCTCGATAACTTCAGGACTAATGTGGCCCATATTGTTAATTACTATATCATAAAAAAACTAGATACTCCCAATCCGGTGCTAAGCTAAGATTGCTTATTACTTTGGATCAGTTGAAAGAGGGAGAATGCGAAAGAACGTTTCTGTTTTAATTTCATAACGGTTCTCTTTTCTTTCACGTATTAAGAACCGCTATTATTGAAGAATTTGAAATGGACGCGATCTGTGACATGCAGTACTTAGCCGACATATACATTCATTCATTAATAACTGTAACTGTTATGCCATAGTCGATGCTAAGATAATCACTTCTGTCTACTCAACAAACATGCAGTTCTTTTCCTTGATTTTGTGAATAAATTTAGACATGTAAAGCACGCATACAATATTGATTTATAGGTGCATTCTCCAGACAAGATAAATTATGACACGTTTGCCAATTTTAAATTTAAAGTATTTAGTGAGTTTTTGGTCTGTACTTCTAGTACAGTCTTTTATTCCATATATTTCTGACGGTGATTATCAGTTACCGATTGAAGATAATGATCTCTGTTTTGTGGTATTGAATGTCCACAATTACGTGAACGCAGAGACCGTCGAGCGCTAAAAAAGCCCGTATTAAATATAGAAGCTCGAGAATATTTGTCTCATGGGTAATGTTTAAATGAATGCTTTACAGATTTCTATTAAATTTTAGGGATTAAATGTCAAGACTGTTTGTCACGTCAGCTATTTGCTTAATACCACGTTGCCCAATAGAAAACTTAAATAGACCCGTTGCCCAATAAAAAACTGTTAATTAGTTAGTTGAGGATAGCAGTTGTACACTGATAGGTAGCAGTTAGTTGTTTCGCTTTACATCTTTCTTGGATAACGCTGTATTGGATTTCCTTTTTCCCAAACGTTTCATTTTTCCGGATGGACCCGCAGGTGGTGAACTTGGTTGTGATAATTCTTCAACAGCTTTCAATTCCTTCATGAAGTTGAATGAAATTTTTGAACTAATCTGCAAATCAATAAATGGAAAGTTTGGTAAAAATCATAAACAAATATCGCTAATTATGATACATGAAGAACTCTTCCGAAAAGTTGAAAGTTCAACTTTAGAAATTAGTTTGGTATTGTACAAAAGAAGTTACCTGATGCATGCATTCAATGATACTATTTATGGTCTTGCTTTGCTCACGTATGACACGATCCTGTTCAGCGATTATTCGTTCATGCTGCTTAACTTTCTCATCTATCCTTCTTTTCCACTGGTTCATCTTTGCAAGATCACCGAGACTACGTGTAATTGGATTATTACTGCTCCTGCCTATTACGATATTGGAAGAGGATGTATTGCACAACGAACGAACGCTAAATGAAATTTCCCAATTCATTCCAAGAAGAGAAATATGTATGTGATATGTTTGTATGTAATATGTTCTGAGATAATATGTAATTTTAGCTGATATACCTATCACTCAACGTTGCAGACGAAAAACTATTAGGCAACGATTCCAATGAGTATCGAGAATGGGAACGACAAAGAAGACTCAAAGGATCTCGAATACGTAGAGCTGGTGCAATTTGTTCTTCGAAATATTCCATTGCCATACTAAAGAGTTTGAAATGATGAGACAAGATCAATGATGACAGAAATGCAAATATGGCAAGTAATTTAATGACACTTGTCAGTGGCCATCACATTTTTTCATCCTTAACTAATTTATTTAAACAAGATAAACCTCGAATAATCTCGAATATCTCTTAAAGATTCCTGTGTTTCAGGTGGTTGCACTTTCCGTTTAACACAACTGTCTAACATACGCAGCACGGAGAAACCTTCATCCAATACCTGCATAAATTATACATAATAATCCAATACGAATCACATAATGAAACCTTCGATTAGAGCATATTTTGAATTATTTTATAGAGTGCTTAAACTTACTTGGCTCATAAAAGAATCCATCTATAATATTATTTGTTATGCATTTCAGTTAAAAAAGAAATCAGCATACTGTCCTACCTTGCCAGCTATGAAGCAACAGGAATCATTATCAATATACTTCCTGAATGTCATCGAAAGCAACGCATAACGTGTTTCCAATGCTGAATAAACCTCATTGACACGCGATAAAGTATGTAATCTATAAAAATGAACGTTTATCATTCAACGCCACCTCAAGGAAGAGTTTTATGTTCTGGAGCAAAACTGAAAATCGAACATGCATAAACAATTTTATACTATCAAATACAAGAGACAAGATCTTTCATATCCTTTACTACCAACTAAGGTCTGACAAACTTGCAATGGTGCACGAATATTGGACATTTTCATAGTTATATTACTGTAATGCATTTCATTATAATGATTAAAATTTTCTACACAAAAATGTATTGTTATATACAGTAAAACTTTATTTTTCACGAATCCAAACATTAATGATACATCAGAAAACGATATCAACTAAGTCTATTTTCTTCATGCAGCCTCATCCAAACACAGGTCTTTTTATTATTATCAGCTACAGGTATTATAAAAAGTATTCCTTGATATCATTCTTCTGATCTTGCAGAAATGAAAGAATGAACTGTACTTAAACTTTTTTGCATTTTTTGATCATTCGTACTTTACATAGCTTCTGAACAAAAATGAAAAATTCAAATACCCGAAAATAACAAAGGTACCTTCGCTGAGACTCCCTTTTTGGTAACATCTTTTTCATTCGGCTCATTGCTTTATCCAGCTGTTCGCCAAGCCGAAAAAATGAAGAATTTAGAATAGAGCGTGCCACTACATCGAAATTTCTGGAAACCTAAACTGGAAGGATCTGAATTCAAAAAATATTTCACATTCTTCTACGAAATGAAATATGTAGGACCATTGTGCACCCTCTTCTATTATTCATCGCTACTCACTCCTCTTATGATTACAGCAGATAGTTTATGTTCAGAAAATAGAAGATAAGTTAACTAACGGCTCTCAATAAACTGATATCATCGTAAGAAAGGCAATTCATGATGTATGTAATAATCTCCATCGGAAGTGTATCAAAAGTGGCGCCTGCAGATATCGTCATGTCACCGCATCCTGATCTTGTTGGTGTGCTTGCCATATATATGATATGCTTTAAAATTTAAACTTCTGCAAGCAAAAAGATACAATCTAGAAAGTTCTCTGAAATTTTCAGCTACACTATGTAGCCGTTCCGATTGCATATTTCATCCTCTCACCTTAATGGGTCAAACAATGCAGCAGTGACATAAAAATCTGCAATGATGGATACGAAAATTCTTAGCAATTTATTAATTGAGGAAACATGACGACAGGCGAAACGAGAGTGTAAACCCTTTAAAAGGCACGGTCTAATAATTCCGTTCCACACGACCAATCTCGTTCTGCCTGAATGAACTTGTCCACTTTCCTATCACTACCCCCCTTTCTCGCAATCTCCGTCACTTCCGCCGCCGAATGACACTTGGGCACTTATGGAATGGGGTCCAAGTTCATTTTGCGATAAAGATTGTAGCTGGAATGGGCCATTCCGTGCAAGTGTGTTCCGGTTGTTCCGGTTGCTGGAGCTATGACGGTGTTTTCATATGGTACCTTACTTGGACTAATTTCAGGTAGATCGTGCTACACATGGTGTGACCGTTATGTGGCACCAATTCTTGAGGTATGTCAGTCAAATAGATTTATTTCAACGATACTTTTTCCATCATTTCTATTTACTGTTCTCATAATTCATGTAGTTGGCGGATTTGCCTTTTTTTGTTTTTGATGACTCGCACGTAACGCATTACGTGTTACGCATCATCATGGTTGCACTGTTCATTAGGAGATGATACTATCATCAGCTCAGTATAGAATATACTTTGGAAAAGGTCTGTAGTATGTGTAAAAATCTTTATCCATCGGAGATACGAGCAAGGTTACTAGGCAGATAAAAGTGTCAGTTAGTTATTGGAGGTAAGAGATAGATCACTTCTTTCCTAATTCATCATATAAATTGAGAAATAAAACATGAAGTTAATCTTTGAATATGTGTGAAAAAGTATTACATTTATCTTCGAAGTTTAAAAAAAAAATATGGAGCCTTTTCAGGCAATATTTAAATCAAGAACATGTGATTCAGAAGGTATGTATTTTAACCATGAAGAAATACATTTTGTTATTTATTGTCATCCCAATCACTTCTCTATTTCTATACACTTTGAACTGTTATGAACGATCTTATTTTGGGAAGTGCTGTTGCTGTCCTGCCCTGCCATTTACCGTATCTGCCCTTCTGGGTATATAAAATGATGCGGTTTAATGACTTAATTATTAAAATCCTAAGGTAGAACCATCGTTGACAGTGAGATTATTAGATGAGCCAATTTGTAATATTAATATCAGAAATGTTTCTCGCTATGTGTCATATAACAACCGAATTGTTTAAATTGCAATTTAGAAGTGAAGATTAAGAATTTCAAGTATATATATTAAGTCGGAATGGAGCAGGAGAAAAGGAAAGGCAGTACAAGTGCTAAAATGGCAGTAAGACAAAGTAAAATTAAATAAAATTTGGATAGGAAGGTTTACTTCAGTTTTCTATCCATTTCATCTTGTGCACTCTACATGATTTTTCGTTGCAGTTAGCAGATTCAAAAGTAATTCGCTCAGCGGCACGCTTTTTCGTCTCAACAATGTTTGATATGCGCGTATCGATCTTTCAGAATTTTTGGAAACGAATTGAATTTTTTTCAAAGACATTCGGTGAAGAATTCAAAAAATCATTGACACAGAAGAAGTAATTTCATTTACTTGCACATATACAATTAGAATACAAATTATATCATATTAATCACAAACTATATATTTTATTAACTGAAAACATTATAAATCAATGTGGATTTCATAATATCGTTTCCTGTCGTTTTTCAGTGCCATCATACTGTTAGCTGAAGTTTATACAGTGTATCTTATAATAGTATATCACATTTCTGTAACAGTATCATTTTGCTTAATGAAATGTAGAACAGTCAAGCTACATAATTCATTATGAAGGAGTTGTAATAGTGCCAGTATTACTTGATTTTTCAACGATTTAATCGTTAATTTCTTACGATATATGCTCTATAAATCTTTCCCCTAAGTTGCTGAGTAATTCCGACAAAATGCTGAGGTAGTGAGTGCATTTGACCAACGAAATTTAATGATTTCTTCAGATATTAAGTTTTGATGTATAGTTATAAGAGGAATAAATCAGCATCTTAGTCGTGAAAAGATTGCTAATAATATTATATAAACCGTTTTTTTTTTCGTTTCTTCACATTATTTATAGGATGAAAAAAGGATAGCTTGGGACCTATCAGATCTTAAATTTAATGAATTCATTAATTATGTCTGTTCCGTTCAATTACAGAACTACTTTTCTCAGCAAAGTATCTTTGCTAACTTCATATAACTTCCAATTTGTTGTGGGCGAAACTTAAAAAATCCTAGCTTAAATCACGAAATAAGGCAACAGACAACAAATAGAATGAAAAAAGATTGCACTTCAAGATGCATAAAAAGTAAATTTCATTGAAACCTAATGAAATATGATGCATTTGAGAATAAAGCTCGCTCCTTTAGTAAATGACTAACTATCGAGGACTGGACAACAATGCGAACGCATATCATTTAAAAGATTGACGTCTTTTCGTCGTGCATTCTGGGAAGTTGATGTCATTAAACTTTTCTTTCGGGGAGTTTACAGTTTTTGAAGAGATCAATAAAAAAAATGTTAAAGTGACTCAACACTAGCTAAATAATTGGGCTCTGACGGTTGTTTGATATCCCGCGAGTTAACACGTTTTGTTCTGAGTTTCTGTTGTAAGCAAGAATTTGGTGGTATAGATGACACTGAAAATGTAGATGAAGTGGGGTCAGGTAAATCTGCCAACATGGATGAAGTATCGCGACCTATTGGTGTGACACTTCTGGTAAGTATCGAGAAGTGAAGTGATGTGAGTCGAGAGCCGAGTGTATTTGAGCTAACTGTGGCTTTGGACGTTTGTGGTTCGAGCGGTTGTACGACTTGTGACAGAGAACGTGAACGGAAATGTGCAACGTTTACAATGTGAGAAACAGTGGATGAAGGCCTCCGAAATTGCCATGAGATTCGATTCATTGCATTTTTTTCTTGTGTAGGATTCGCTGCAAAATAAATTAATTAAATAGTTTCTATATATTGATCATCATAACTGGAAGGAAAAGACTTTTCTAAAAAATCTCTTCGATAACTTAGAAAATTCATACGTGGCACGACAAAGTTTCTATTTTGAGCAATCGAAGTAATACAGTATGGAGAAGTGGGATAAAGATAAGGGAGAGAAAGTTCAGACATACCGATGACATTTTTTGCTGAGGAAGATGCGCTTTGTACTGTCAGAGGCGTTATTGGAAATGCATTCGCATTGGAGCAGTACATCGCCTGAAATGCTACAGTGGTTTTAATGGAAGCGATAGTCACCCATCTTAACATTTTATCACAGCGATGAGTGTCGAAGAAGAAATATCACTCCGTGTACATCTGATGGTGGTGGGACAGAGCACAACGGTTGGGGAGATGACAGTCGGAATGATGAATTTCGGTATGGCACCGCACCACATTCACAGAATATCACTCATCATAATTGCATGCTAACTTAAGATAGTATCGTTGAAGTAGTTTTGAACTGCCTCATCAAACATATTTTATTCTAAATTTGAATTCTATAACCTTGTAAGAATTTTTTTGAAATTTCCAGTATTCCAAATGTTGTTTTGTTGTGGACACTACCGTTTACCTGAACAAGTTGCGATGAAGTTAGGGAATTTGATGGGTCCTGCACTTCGGGATGATCGGCACGTGGAAATACGGACTCGGATCCAGTTGAAGAATGTACATCCACGCTTAACATATCTCCATCCCTTGGCGATTGATGAACGCTTTCTCTCTGTGTATTGTTGGGTGTACGTCGACCCATGGACACGTAATACCCGAAAGCCTAAAACCGAGTTAGACATCTATTCGGCTTATATTCACACATTTAATCATATCTTGAAATATCGTTCATATAATCAATGCGTCCCAAAATACCTTTAGGATATCATTTTTACACATTGGACAAGTTCTGTGTTCCAGAAGCCACGGATCAACACATGTTTTGTGGAATATGTGCCTGAAATTCATTTTTTGTAGTGTGAATTTAGGAAAATCAACAATTCTTCATCACCACATACTGAGTAAATTTCAACTTATTGTGTAAAAAACGGAAATTTTAATGTGAAAATTTGCTCATTCAGAAAGAATTTTAATTGGAAGAGAAAGCAATATATGAGAGTACTTACCTACACGGAAGAGAACGAATAATATCACCGGCTCGATATGGATCAATGCAAACAGGACAGTCGATGTCAAGCTCTTTATCTCCAATCCGAATAGGTCTTGTTGGAATACGTGTCAGCGCCTTTTTAGCTGCATTAAATAGTCGCCGTTGAAGGCGATCTTTGGCGTGCGCATAACGGAATCTAAATTTTGAATATAAGTACAACAGAAAGTTTACGGAGTTAGCGGTTGAAAAATGGTTAAACTGATTGATAAACAAAAAAGGCATTTAATATGAAGGATTCCGACACTGAACTCTTTAAGTCACTAAGATAAAATGCAAACTGATCAAAAATGTTCATGATAGAACTTCTGGAAAAGAAAACTTCAGAAAATAAATGAGTGAAAACAGAATAGAAAGTTATATAGTACCACTAAGTTTAAAACGATAATATTATCATTTTTACTAGAAGCATTAATGTGATAAGAATAGAATCGGATGATGTAATGATGATCAATTGAGGGCCAGGAATACCGTAGCAACAGATCACCTGTAAAGGAATGGCTGGGAAAGAGCCCATCAGTTAAATTACTAGATTGCTAAGAGATAGATTGGTGTAAGTTGCTGTTATGTGATATAAATCGAGAATCTAATTTCGTTTGTCATTTAAAATAATTCATTTTAAAAATATAAAAATTAGAAAATGGCTTGATTAAAGGAGGAGAAATCAAAGAGATGCCTCACCTTTGCACATAATAGAAGACGAGCCAAGCAAGCGAAATAACCATTAAAATGATGAATGAAATGGAAACAAAAAGAACGGAAGTTTTCGAAAAACTGCGTAAGGCATCACCATCAGTCCCATCAATAATTTGACAATTATCCAAGGCGATCGGTGCTTCCTCTTCGACGAATGCAAAACGGATCTTTTTCTCGTCATCAATATTGCTCACTTGTCTATGGCTAACACCACGAATGACAATAATCAACGAAATTTCGATATCATTTAGCATCCGTTTCAAGTGCAGATAGATACTGCTCAAATCGGTTGGGCATTCCGTACAATTCTCACAAATTGTTATTATTTGCTACAAATTAATTCGTCAGCAAGACATGACTTAAAATTTTATCATCATATATTTAATAACATTGACATAGTAACAAAGTCAAAAGCATATAGAGACAAATAAGCCAGAAGCTTCATGCAAGCTAAGCAGACATTCTACTGCTGTGGACATGATAAATTTATTTATGTATGTAGTCAGGGCAATAACATTTACTAATTGCGGCTTCAATTAGTTTAATATGGAATAAGTCAACTTCTGAAGTTTGCAGTGACAATCCTGTTTGTGTTGTTGAAATCGCATTTAAGAGAAGTGGATTTGAAAAGAACCTGATAATTGCTAGAAGAATACGCGGAATTTGGTCTCGCAGTAGTAGCAGCCAGGCGACATATATCACCGCCTACAATTTGATCCAACGGCATATAAACTAAACGACCGATTGGTAGAGGATTCGATCGGAATGGTGGATCGAATGATAATTTATTGAATGTTGTCGTTCCACATTGCAACGACTGATGCTGCGAATGCTGCAACTGATATTTGCTTACAATTTTCGATGAAAATTTAAGATGCAAAAAAATTGATTTCCAATTTTTGAGTATTTTTTATGCTATTATTATCAATTAATACCAACTCTTCCTGTTTTGAAACATTGCATTTTCTTGATAGATTCTTTTGGCATCATGTCCTATTTTGTTTGTTTAATATTTCTTTTTCAATTCTGACACTTCTAAAGCTATTAATTCATTTCTTTCTTCCTTTTCGAATTTTACTGAACTTGTTTCCATTCATTTTAGATTTATTTTTCAATTTAAAAAATTTTAGTGCTTTGGACTTACAACGACGAATGAAGAAAATACTTCAAGACGCTTCTTTATAAGACAATGATTTAGGAATGTTTTTAATTCAGACTGTAAATTCTTTTCAGAAAATCCTGGTGAAGATAGCTCCGGTGTAAGTTTTCTACTGCAGACGCATGCATGTAGCGGGAATTGTAGTAACACGCAAATTCATTAATTGGTGGTTTTGTTGAATTCAAAAGCAAACTTATCTGTTTCTGATTCTAAGATCAGATCAATAAATATCTCACACGACAACTTAGAAATGCTACTTAAAAAGAATCAATCCAATCAATCCCACATATCGTTTCTTTAAAGCTCTCACTGTTCCGTGAAATGGGAGAGTTTTCAAAGAGAAAAAAGTAAGATTTACGATTTTACTGGAAAAGGATAAGATTTACATTTTTTTTAGTCATACCTGTGTATCTTCTGGTTGCTTATTACTTATTTATTTCTTTATTTATTTCCTCGCTCAAAATCTTTTAGTCCTGTTCCAGGTTGACAATTAATGCGTTAATATGTAGAAAATATATCATTTTTCATTAACATAACAAACAGATAACGAGATTTCCTAGTACATTAGATTTCCATAATGCTCCATACCTCAATACTAATGAATCTGGTGTGATATGACCAGTCCTTAAAATATTTCTCCTACGATCTTACATAATTTGAATTATGCATTGAGAGAAATAAGACAAGTGATTGGAAGCTTGTTAGTGTGTAAACACGTTCATTCCAGCTCAGCTGTATAAACAAATCTTTTTGCTCAGTTGTCGCATGCCAATTGCGGGCCTAAAGAGACAAGAAGAGAGGACAGAAAAGGAAAGACATTTCATATTCTTTGCATGTACCAATTGGATATGCTAAACAGTGAGGTAAAAGAGGTGACGAATGCCATTCACTCCTGCGATAATGCCTAGACAGATTAAGAATTAGTCATTAATCTATCCCATAATCGATAATGGAATCGAGATATTCCATTCGACTTGATCCAGACTTAATGTAACTACTGATTAGATTAGCTACTAAAGCACTGGATTGGAAAACACGAAGTGTGGAAGTGCGGAAGGGAATGGAAATAGCTGGACAAACAATGGTGTGTCTAAGGACGTGACTATCCGTCGTCAAGAACGTTAAAGCAATGATATGAAATGACAGAGAACTATGAATCGAGAAATGTATGTTGCAGTAATTTAAAACTAAAAAATGTCAAGAAGAGCGTTTACAGAAAGGAAGAAATCCTAAAATGATTTTAAAAAATGTGAATAAGGACCTCTGGTCTTACTTGCACCATCACTTCTTAATATTCACAACTTTTTCGTCTGACCTGTCACACTTCTTCATTGTAATTATTCATAGATCTTTTCACAAGATAAGCATTTCAAAATTCCATTTTTAAAAATCTAGTGTACTATTTTAATACATCAAATACAGTTTCTACTCAGTGAACAAATTTTGAAGTGGAAAAGAGGAGTGCTCATGTGATTGAACGAGTTGAATCGAATGATGGTTTTGAGTTCTTCCAGAAATTTTAATCAGATAAAATTGTATCACGTGACTTTATCTGTTAATGAATGCAATTTTTTGACACCAATCTGCCGATCTCTGCTCTCATCCTGTGGTAATTTTCACATCATAAAGAAGAAATAGCAACTTAACCTTTCAATTCTATCATTCAGAACAAAACTATCTACCAAGACAACATCGTTCTCATGTCAAATTTTCACGTTAAGTCATATGATCTATCACTTCCACTGGATACTAAACCAAGGAACTACTAAACCCACCTTACCCTGTTGACTTTTGACGCTGAAATAATCCATTAAATTTTTTCACATGCATTTCTTTCTGACTTTAATTTAATCAAATCAATAATATCGTTATGAACACACCTGAGCAATAGCCTGAAAGACATAAAGTACCAAAATATAGCAATTCATTGTTAGCCAAACCATTTAGTCGAATATTTACCTGCAAAGATCACATGTATTATCAGCTTGAAATCAGTGATCAATACGATCAGTCATCGGATACAGGAATGATTGAATAGAAGGAAGAAGGATGAAAGGTTTCAGATTTATGGGGATGAGTGGAAACGGGAATGGCTAAGTGTTCCACAATCTTACAGAAATAGTTATTCATGGGGTGATTGTCCACATGAAATGGTTGCTTTCGAGCTTTAAGTGAAGCAATCGATGGATTGATCCGCATTTTAAGTTTAATCAAACATTAAGATTTATCCTTCATATAAAGAGAAAGTTAAAACTGAGGGGTAGATCAATGATACTTTGCATCTGTCCCGTATATTTATTATGAGGTAAATTCTGTTACCTCGAATTAGTCTCGAACAAGATTTTTTCGGAACGGAATAATAATATTCGGGATGTTCGACCAAGTATTATTAAATACTGCTATCATAATTAACTTCCACTATTTTTACATCCAATAGTTATAATCCTTTTTGTGACCGTGGAACCGCATTCTCCAGAATACCCGACATGTACAGGAAGTTTGAAGAATAAATAACAGTTACAAAATAGTATAGTATATCCTGGGAACTTTCTTCTTCCTTTGAAGCCTGGAAAGCAAAAGGTGAAGAAGTGACACTAAGCGCTATGCACAGGCTCCTATCAATCGGATAAGCAACATTTATCCATCTATCCATTCATTCAATCATTCGTTCATTCAATCATTCAATCATCCGTTCATTCACTCATGTATACTATACTCACTACACACTAAAAATGAATGATTTAACGGCACATTTTATTATTTAATAACTAACGCCGATTTATTTATTCTCGTCTGACATTGTGTGCATGTGTGTGTGTGTTTATTGGAGAGGAGTTAGCAAGTTGTTAAGGAAGTGCTTCTATTCTGGTAAAGAGCCACATTTTAAGACCGCCTCTGAATAAGGAAACTCAGATGAAATAATTTCGAACGCAACCAACTTTTGGCATTTTCAGTATCTTCGATTTGAACATAAAAAATAATGGAAAAATGTGTGGCTTCACTTACGAAATCATTCTATTTTCTCAATCATATTGTTGCAAAATTCTGACACCAATCCGAGCGAATTTAAGTTTTGCTGCAGTTGTAATTTTTTGTGGAAAGAGTTTCTGCAGATTAAAAGGGATGAAAAACTTAGTCAAACAAAGAAGTTACTGTGACACCAGACTTTCTTCAGCAATAGTAATAAAGCAGAAATACGAAATGCTATCTTTTCATAGCATTTAAAAAGCTTCGAATTTGAATCGTAGTCCGAATAAATCGTTGTCCTCTGTTAAATAAATTGTTCGAAAAGTGAGAAATTTTTGAAATTTAAAGCTGGAAATTTTTTCTAAATTAGTTCAGAAATTCAAAATGAAGTTTCTCATCGGCAGAGTTAGATAGTGTCACAAAAGTGAAATAGATGGTTCAAATAAATCCGGAAGATACTTCGAGACTTCAATTGAAAGGAGAACTTCGAATTATCGAATCTTGGCTACCGACAGAACTAAAGAAAAGAAACGGCTTGATGGGAGCTTCTCGATGCATGTCACAAAAGTGTTAAATCATCGTCAGCTGGGCAAGAAGAACGGTTCAAGACGAAGAGAACATGGTCCTTTGGTAGTTGCATTATAAATGACTTCGAAGAAAAAACGTATAAAAATAAAGATAGTTCGAGGGAACTATTTTATAATATCTTCTTTTGTTGCTGCGTCTGTAAGGGGATGATACGGAAGCGGAACAGAGAGGACAGGTACAGCGGAAGATGGATGGAGGATAGAACACAACTGTTCCACCAAGGTATTTGTGACTCACAAAGCTTTGAAGCTATTCTTGAAGATATCCATTTTAAGCACAAATTCTCCTCGAAATAACATTTTTATCACAACTTCCAAAGGATCCATTGATGATGGTCACTACTTGACCAATCTTTTTTGACTCAACAAATATATGATTTTGAGTTTATCAGTTTCTCATTACTTCATCAGAATGCCATGATATGGAGTAGCTATCCATTAGTCATAAGTTTCTTATCGAAATGTATCAAAGGTTAGTTGAGGAAGAAGTTAAAAGTTGCTATTCATATCCTTCGTGTCATATATTCATTATCATTACTCGTTTAATATTTCAAAACAATTAACAATAATATCAACTCCACTACTCTGCTATTCACAACAACAGCTCTATTCTGGTTTCGTATTCTGTCATATATTTTCCGCTGTTCGGAAAGAAAAAAATTTGGCACTAAATGATTATATGAATGAATGGAGCCTGAAATAGATAAGAAATCTGTGGCTATATTTCGTTAAATAAAACAACAACCAAAGGGAAGACTCATTTATTCTTTGAATTGGAAAGGATAACTAAACACAAGGAAATCACAAAACAATTCAACTACGCAGGAAGCAGAGAGACTAAAAAAGAAATGTGCCCAATATTTCTTGAAACCAAAGATCGATACTCTGCAAGTGTGCTTTCACTTATTTCTCATTATGTGGCTAAGAGTTGTATTTTATTTACTTGTTCTTTGAATAATCGTTGAAAAGCGAGTTTTTTTCCATCCTTTATCTTATATATTGTCATGGAAATAAAATGCAAGAACAGTGAAGAAACTGATGCAAAACGATGTCGATAGTGTAGAAAGCGTTAAATAAAGCGAAATTTCAGCCAACAGCGTCACATTATCAGAGAAGAAAATCGCATTCATCTCCTATCGGAGTAGCGCTCGAAGTATTCTATCGGTTAATCACCCGTAACCAATCATCTTATTGCAATCCGGAAGTATTTCTACACCACTTTCAACAAAAATATGTAGGTTTGGATGTATTTGGCAGTTGAATATTATAAACAT